GCGTGCGCTGTGTGGTTTATTTTTTGTTAGTTGTATATTAGAGGGTGATGATCAACAAACATCTTTCAATGCTATGTGTTTTAAGATTCACCTTAGATTTTTTTCTCAGAACTGTCATAATAATATACCAAAATCAATAAAATTATAAATATTCATTTCTCAGTTAATGTGATATTTCCAAACTCAGTTAATAAAGTTTGCAGGTATCTATTATTAAATAGTTAGTTTACTATTTGTTTTAATTAAACTAATAGATATGGTGAATTCAACAATGAAGTTTATATTAAGATGGCAAATACAATTCACGTTAAATCACGTAACTTAGTTTCTATTTATAAGTTATGTTATTTTCCAAGAAAAAAAATGTTCTGCCATCCATTTTCATTATATTACTAACCGATATTGTACTTGATATAATATTATGTTTCTTAAGGGCAATAATTGTTAGATGTAAATTCCAAGTATACTAAATAAGTAGGTATAGTTGTTAGAAGTATACTGCCACAGTACAGTAGGTAGGCGAGTAAAAATAAAATATGATATACCTTAATAATAACCTAACCTATGTACCGTTATTATAAATTGACATTAAAATGGGCACAATCCTTGATAAAAAATAATTAATGAAATTTTAGCAAATTATTTATAGATATTAAAATAATTCATGGGATCGTTGCTATTAATACATTTTTGATGTATTTCCTATTTTATTAGACTAATGTACACAAATACATTTTTTTTTGTCTTAAAATAAAAAATTCAAAATTTGTTTATAATTAAATGTTGTACATTCTTCATAATACACATTAATAAACAATGATGAGTATGAAAATTCGAAATGATCTTGTTATTAAAAACATAAAAGTTTATTTTAAATTAACATAAAGGCTAAGTTAAATTAATAAATATTTCAAATCAAAAAGTCATTCTTATTAGGTAGTAAAAATTATCCTAACTAAATTCTTTACTTGTAACTAGTCTATTGCCTAACTTATTGCCTAGCCTTGAATATTTTTATAAAAACCTTGTATTTTTAAATTATGAAAATAACTAGAAACTAACAAATATAAATGTTTAAAATTCATAACTAACAATAGCATAACCTGTAGTATTTTTCTTTATTTTGTTAAAAATAGCTCTAGGGAAAAAATATGTGTAAATGGATTTTTGTTTGTTTTCACAACAGTACACCAATCTTCATCGAATAGGTAGAGGCCAATAATAAATCGACGATTATTAATTTGTAATTGTTAAAAGAAGGCTGTCATAGCCTAGTCTCCTTGTTGCAGGGATTGATATTAATACATACTATGATATTGATTAGATTTTTAAAACGTTTAGGTCCGCGGCTTAATGTAATAATAATATGTTTTTCCTTTGGGATTTATTTTATCGAAAAAGTTTTTTAGCGTACCGGAGCTGTTTTCGTAAGTATACCTCAGGCGAAAATATTATGAACTGTATTATTTCGCATATTGCATTTCTACATTGTTCTATAGGGGGTCAGCCGGTAGCGATTTCTGACTATAAATATTATATTATGTTGTGGCCTATGGGTATTAATAACAATAATTGCATTTTTTTAACGTGGGTAAGGCTCGACGGTTTCGTGGGTGGCTCGACTCGAACACTATACGCGATGTTCACTATTTTTATAAGCCACTTTTATTCTCATTCATAAAAATAATATATTATAATATAATAATATTGTTACCTAGCCTATTATACGTCCTCCGTCTCGTGCCTCTTCCGACAAAACAAAGTGAACATTTTCACTGAACCTTCTCTGATTTTTACTGCGTGCGGTGTTGAGTGCGAATCGCCGTGCCACGCTAACCACACGATTTATGTTTTTCGCTTACGAAGTACCCACCTACCCACATCGTAACTGCGAAACCTACAATTTTGTTATTACACCGCCGCCGTTGCCGGCGAATATATATAGCAAATAGTCGTTATTGAATTTATTATTATAAATGGCTTATTGATGTAGTATATTGTTTTAAATGAGATAAATTGTTATATTCGCACTAATCGACGTAACATTATATCAAGCAGCAGACAAATTGCTCGGACACTAGGCCCCGAGGGTATTTTCGTTGCTAATAAGAATCATGAGCCTTGGAACACGATGGTAATTTATGCATACATACGTCAGCCATTGATGAACATTGAAAAAAAAAAAATACGCCAAAACCAGTATACACACACGAACACGAGTAATATTAGTTAATTGCACCCGAGATATGCAAATGAGCTGAGATGATAATCAATTTCATACGAAACGAATCACTCAAAAATTAATAACTCTATTTAGTGCGGATATTATACGTGTGTGCCTGTGTGTGCACGTACCTATACTTAAAGCTGTGGTGTTATATCATTATTACTATTATGTGCGTGTGCTGTACCTATATGTGTATTATATCGGAATTTACTTACATCGAAAGTTTGCGTACACCACATATATATATATATATATATACCAAATGTTAATTGCACGCAGTCAAGGCGTTTTGGAAATAATAATATTATCGATTGCGTAACACGTAGGTGGGTAGGTACCTATGATTCGTGAATAATAAAAAAAATATATAAGTGATATATTATTATAATATAGGCGTATATTATATAAGGCACACAAAACCATTATAATATTATAATAACGTCTCGGATAAAGAAAAACACGTAATGCGTAAAACGATAAAAGTCACATTTGCAGTGTATACAGCTGCAATATGTTCCGATCGATTTTTCAACACAATAATACTCTGAACACTTTTTAAGATTCGAGCGTAATCACAATTAAAGTATATGAAAGAATATTATATGGTCGCCAGACAAAATTAATACAAAATTAAGGTAGTACTGTTGAGGTAAATCTCATAACTTTTTTACTATTAGTTAAAGATCAAGTGATTACTCCTGCTCGTTATAAATGTTTTCTTACTTTAGTTAAATGACTTGTATTTTTATTTTATATAATTCCAATAATATGGACTATAGGAAATTTTACCAAGCTGTAAAAAAGACTTTTTAGAATTTGAGAGGATAATATATTAATTATTTACAATGACATACGACAATTTTAAAATTATTTTGTAGCTAGAAACGTATAAAAATATAAAAATCATGTTAAAGATTTGATCATTTTTCTCATAATAAAAAAAAATTAAAGTTTATCGGAATAACACGTTCATTTTATTTGAGCGTTTGAAGTTCAAATGTTTACAACATTGGATATTCACCCGTAAAATAACTGTTTCTGCTCAAACAATGTTAATTATTTTTTTGTCATCCATAAACGTTATTTATAATTAAATTGTACATATATTTTAAGTTTTACTGTACGCAATGACATTTTAAAACACGGGAGATGTACAACGATGTTGTTTTTATGTTTTTGTGACTGCAATTACATTTGCCTCAATTATCATATTTGAGGTGACTTATGATAGATAATTTGGTTTATTTTTTGTGCTTTAGAGGATCAAGAGAAAAAAAATACAAAGTACTTTACATGATAATTGAGAGAAACTAACGATAAACAGCTAGAAAACAGCAATAATTACATAACACTGAGCTTTTGGCAAAATCAATTTTGTTTGTTTGTTGTGATTTAAAAAGGTCGTATGGACATGTCATTTTCACTAACAATAATTTATAAAAAAATTCTGTTGGCATGATATCATTTTCAAAATGCTTCGAATGCCTTTTTGCTATTTACATCCATTTAAAATCTTAAAATTTCTAAACTTGTTTTTTTCTCGGTCAAGAAGTTCTAAAGTATAATAATCTAAACCTAAAGATCCTCAAAAGTATAATAACTCAAGTAGTTTTTAAGTGTCATAATCATATAGTTACATTTTTTGACTTTAAGCGATTGAAGTTCACAATATGACGAAATTGTATACTTAAACGAATATTTAATAAATGTATTAAGTATCTTTATAATATAATATTTATAATGATAAATTGTTTCAAAATGTTTTAATAATATCATACTGAAAATTTCCAAATTGTTAGACTAATTTTTAGTTTTCCTTCCATTCAACTACAATCAACACTATACTCTAAGATTCGTCGGTATTAGCATAATATAAGTTGTAAGTTAAAAAAAAAGTTTACAAAAATATATGACATTATTAATTTACTGTAAATATCATAATAAACAATATTAATATAATATGTAGGCAATGGTTTCCGAAAAAACCACTAACTCGAATGTACTTGAATATATTGTATCAACATACTGTGGTAGGTACTATGGGTACCATATAATATTCAGAATAAAAAAAAAAAACCAGAAATAGTAGTTTAAAAATGCTATAAAGTATTCTCAGAAATAGTGTAGTACACAGCATTCCACTGTGCTCAGAATAGTTTTTCGTATAGGTACAATGATTTATTATTGAATTTAAATGTAACTGCACAATGCACATCCATTTCAATTATGGCCTACAGGCTATAGGTGGATATTCAATAATGAAGCGGTACACTCAAAAATTAAAACCTTTTATACTGTATACAGCAGTGGAGAGTTGTGTGGTTTTATGTTTTATTGTTATCATAATTTTATTGATTTTTCTGTATTGAAAAAAAAAAATCATAACAAAACAAAAAACCTTAAAACGAAACGGGTGTGTCATTCACACAGAGTTGTAGGGAAAAAAAGGAAAAGAAATTACACGGCGTAACAGGATTTTAGTATTATTTCGCCTCCATAATATTATATTTTTCCGCGGATTACCTTCGCCACGCAATGCTTCGGTTCACCAGAGAATAAAATATACGAAAATTCCATCATAACCGTCAGTACATATCATAATGGATTATCGCGGCGGGTGCAATGTTTCTCGACCGAGAACACAATCAATCAGTGTTAGGTAACTGATTATATTGTTATTATGGTTCACTTAAGCACTATAGCTGGCCTATAAAGCCCCCCCCCCCACCCGCCTAATCACCAAAAAATGATCTTAATGTTTGATAAATCTTACCAAATGCAACCAACATATCGGCAACGTCAATCCGTTGAACTTCTTGGCGCGGTTCACGTACCTCGTGGCCTTTATGATCAGATTCAGCTGGATTTTGATGTTCACGGCCAGCGGTATGCCGAGGTCCTGAGAAAATAAAAATACCATCAACCATACAGTCGGTAAGAGTTTAATAATAATATGACTGATACGAATTGTCCATTGTTCCTGTAGCAATAAGTGCGGATTGAGAACCTTTTGCCTTGACTATTTTCTAGTTTTCATTATTTGACCTTTTAGGAATAATTATTTCAATAGATATTTATTTATTTTTTTTTTTTTTTGCTTTCCGGGCTACAAATACAAATTTCGTTTAAAGAACAAGTGATTTTTTTTTTTATAGTTTTACTTCCGGTTTTAATGACGCAAATTTTTAATATGAGCAAAAAATAATTATGATTTGTTAAAATACAAAAATAAAAAACGGAAGATTTTTTTAAACAATGACATTTTGTTTGATGTTTATTGCAGTACAAAAAAGTGTAGTCTGCAGTGCCATATAATATAATTGTGCCCGCAGAGCGTTAACGTTTGGGTGATTCAAGCCGGTTATGCCGATTTCAATAGCGAGGTTATTAAAATTTAAAATAAATAATATTAATACAATTGTACATTTTAATAAGAAAAAAGCAAATTGATTATTGTATTGACTATTTTATGTACCTATAGTGGAGTTCTCGATACAATAAAATGGTCTCGATTGACCTTACACCAAGAGTATTAATATCGATAATTCCAATATATTCATATATATATATATAATATGTACCTATTAGTTATATGTATAATGTTAGCAGTATTCGAAACGTTCACTAAAAAATGAATTCGTTCACTTTGTAATTTAAAATATTTTTCTTATTTTTGTTTTAAAATAGGAATTATAATAAGAAAATATTATTATATGTACAATACAATTAATCAATATATTTTGAACGAACATTTATTAAATGGTAAATAAATTGTACGTCTTACAAATCGTTCAAATTAATTAAAATATAAACGACGTAAGTTAACGTTCAATTTGAAAAAAATGATTCCGTACAATAACGTATCGTTCCTAAACATGAACGTGCATTCATGAACAAAGTTCTTTCCAAACACTGATACACAGATACATATATATTATATATCCGTGCATTACTATTTATGTAATTATATACTATATACGATACCAGTTAAAAAGTCCGCAAAGTCATCCAAAGTAATCCGAACAAAGTATAGCTGGACACAAACTATTAGTGAACTTGGGCCGTGATTATTATTCGACATTCGTTAGTATGAGAAAAAGTCCCTGGGGATTTTGATTTACAGTAAAACAGTATTTTTGTCAATATCGAAAGTAACCAGAACGTCATTCGAACTTTTTCATTTTGACTTATTTTTTATTGTATGTGACAAATAAGCTCAAACAATTTAAGAGTATCACTATATCAAAAAGTTACCTATTTATATTTTTTTTAAATTCAAAAATCATTACCTAACGCAATATTGTTATTTAAGTTTTCCAAATTAAAATACTTTATTTTAGTAGCAATTTTATGATTAACTAAAAGTTTAAATACTTTTTATAAATAACGTATGTTGACTTCAATTTGTTATTAATGTATTATTTTAAACTTTACAAATTTCATACTTGCGATTTCTTAAGTATTTTATAATATCGCATTGCTGCAAATCCAATGAACCGTATATAAATTAATATTTAAATTTTAAACTTTGATGTTGTACTTCAAATTCAACAACTATAATATTAATCATAAAGTTTTTCATAGGGCTGCAGTAGGTAGGTACTCTAAAGTTATACAATGATCTAACGTGAAATACAGCAATATATTATGATTGTTTCATCGGTGGAGTGTTTCAAAGTTTAATGGCCCCTTGGATTTTGAGTGGACTTGATTCACTCTTATTTACAAGTTTCTGGAACCTTAAGACACGAGAGATATGACTTCCATAAAAATTAACGATTAGTGGATAGTTCCTGTATGTATCCATTAATCCTTCGCTGTCGATTTATAATAATAATATAAATTATAATACTATATAGCCATGGAAATTTTTCACTAAGGTTTTGCTCTAAACGGACATTTTTAAACGGTATAATAAACGGCATGGTATTAAAATCGTTCATTACCGGTTGTACGGCAACTACCGATTGATGTTTTTCCATGTTGGGAGCAATTCCATTGACATTATCCACCAACGCCGGATCGCCGCCGTAAAAATGTGGAAACGACACTGCCACCGGTATATCTGTAAGGTAATTCACAGAGTTAAATCAACGAGTGAAATATAAAAATAAAGTAAAACCTGATGATTGTAATAATGATACGGAACTTGCGATAATGCATTCAGTCGACTGCGGAGGAAACAATAATTATGTGTAAACGTCACACTTTTAATATTATCATTTACCTTCTACCTTATTGAAAAGTTCAACATACAATCATAAGTAAATTATTACTTAAAAACTGAAGCCAGAAAATGTATTAAAAATGTACTGCTTTAAATAGTAAATAATATATCATATAATATTATGACCTATTATGTTCTCATAAAGCTCTCTTTTGTTCTCTATCACTTTTAAATACAAACGAGAAAAGCTTTTATGGATATGTACCGTTAACAGTAAAATTGTTTTATTATACCGCATTAAAAATAGCACTCTGACATACGTATCAATGCTTTAAAATACCATCAAAACATTTTATATTATTACATTAGGTACCTATTTCAATTATTTCATGTTAAAATAAGTTTCAAATAAAAAATAATAAAGCAGAATATACATTATTATAATACGGTTTTAGTACAATGACTTATTCGTATTTTTCACTTACTGTAATAGCACGGTGATATGTCAGACAGTCCGATCGGCAAGCATCCGTCTCGAGGGCAATAACATTTATTATCGTCCAGAGAAGAATTAAAGACTTCTGGCAAGAATTTGTATAAATAAACAGAAGGGTACCCAATGGGCATATCACTGGTAGAGCTGTAAGTCAGGGGCAATGTCCTGCAAAAGGCTTTTCGATAAATTGGAAAGTTCATGTCTGTGGTCAAGTGTCTGGGGAACAGTAATCCCTCCGATGATGCATTCAAGGAACATTTATTCCTATAAAAAAAATTAATAAAACGCATTGAATTTAACATTCTATATACGTCATACAGCTTGCACAATATATAATTGTATGCTATTTGCACAAAACAACGTTATAACTACAGTATTACACCAATCGAAGATTAACAGAGTTCATAATGCTGTAAATATAATATTATGCTGATTCTTGACTGAAGTGGCCCCCAGTGGATAAATGAGTACTTGGTAGTCAAATTAGTTTCCACTAGGTATTTCATATTCCAATTATTTTCTTTTTACCACCATAAGCTATACCCAATTTAATCATTGCTAGAGTAGTGGGATAACAAGTATATTTAAAACGAATCGAAGTTAAAATACGAACAATTAATATGGTATAAATACATTTAATAATATTTTTGGTATATATATTATAGTTTGAAATTTGAAAAAACGGAAGTCAAAATTGCTAACATTTCTGTTGTTATAAAATATTGATAATTTCAACAATAATCATTTATATACGTCAATATAATGCATTTCCAATATGAATTATATAAAATACATAACAAAATTATGCTTCACATCCATAGTCTAAGGATAATTTTCAAGATCAAAATATGAACCCTATAGTATATGATCATTGATCAATGACGATAACGTACACGACAGCAACTGTCACGTTAATATTGCGTCAATTTATATGTGAACCTTTTTGAAATTACTTTTATATTTAAATGTTGGTGGTTTATTTTTCCACTATTGATGTATCGACTACCAACGTAGTGATATTATACTTACATCTCATTAGGTTCATCTGCATTGGCCCATTGGTGTAAGATCGGTGATCCATTAAAGTTATCTATTGTATAGGGACGTTTTGTTTGTCGTTCCGATGGCACTGTCATTGTGACGACATTGGTTCCTTCGTCTAACATCTAATAAAATATCATGTTGTAAGTATAAATCAATCAATATGACGTATAGGTTTCTAACAAATAAAATATAATATTATTTATACTCATATAATATTATTTGTTGGCATTATCAATGTCAACATTTTTCATAACATATTGATCAATAAACAAACAGTAATGCCAACAGGTATACTGTAAAGTCATTAACAAATAAGTCTAACTTTATTTCAACTATATATTGTTTTAAATATTTTGTTGGCAAAAAATTGTCTTTATTATGACTTAAAACAAAGGTATACCACCTTAGGTAATGTATTTGAAATATTTACAGAATTTGGTGTATTTTAAATATCCTTTCAAATGTTTAAATGATCTATTTATAATTCTTGAAATTCAAAAATAAATGTTTATTGAAGTTTTTGAAACGTATTTATTCGCCAAGCCTAATTTTGTTATTAAAAAAATACTTCATTTTAAGCAGGGGAGAATATTCCTTAGACAGATATATACAAATTGATACAATATTATACCATTTTATTTATTGTTTTCATTAGGTAGTAAAATTATTTATATTTTTGGTGTTATTGTGTGCGTCCAAAAACAGCATAATAATCGTATTATATATAAGTTGCTCGGGAACCAATAGGTTGCTCATAATATTATTAAATTATAATTGATACTCTGTATCGCATCATTTATTACCTATATTTTTAAACTCGGTTTTCGCACACAGCATAATTATATTTTATTTGATAGTTTTTATAATAGCATAACACGTCAGTGATTTTTTCTCGAAAATAACTACCTCGGCGAACGTTAAAAAAAACTCGATGCATCCTCGTTCGATATTTAATATAGATATACCAACTTAGTACGATGTTTATCTCAATACGTTTTTTTATCCGTTTCTAGGTACGCTGAATACGCTTTTTATATATGCACATCGAAAAGGGTAGTCGTGCTATAGATACGAGTTCATATCATATTATGCATATAATAATGTGTCACAGAAATAACTGATGAATTAAAATGATAACCTCTACAATACATAGCATTATGCTCATTGCCTTTTTTTCTTCAATAATGCAGTTATTTAAAATTTTAATTTAGGAATTTTTAAATATTTTTTTAAGAAGTATCTTCAAATTATTGAGATTTTTTTACTACTTAAAGACCATCATGCAGAGGTACAGACTTCTGTTTTTCAAATGAGAATACCACTAGTTTCATATGAGCAATTTTGAGTTATTTAATTTGTATTCTAAAAACAAAAGGTTTTATGAGATATGAGGGTTTGAAAATTGTAGTAGTTATTAATATTAATCCATAAAAATTGATAATTTGTAAAAATGGTCCAAGTAGAATAAATACTAGATCCTATTTTACGTCTGAAAATGATCTACTAATTAATATGTAGTATAGCAGCGGGGTTCTCATTTGAAAAACAAATATTTGTATCGCCACAGGAAACTCCCTAAGTAGTACGAACAAATTCAAGAATTTTAAAGTATATGGTCTTTGGTATTTATGTTTATAAATTCCAAAAATCATAATTTGTATAATTGCATTATTAAAGGAAAAATGGGGGGGGGGGGCGTGCTTGATGAATCACCCTGTGTAATGTGATTATTATGATCACCGACAATTTATTTTATTAATAAATGAAAAACGTAAACGTCGATTAGAACGAATAGTCGTACTATCGCTCATACACACATACCAACTGCAATATGGTTGATAACACTATACGCATGTCAATTATTTCTGGTTACACTCTGTATGCACAAACCACAACACTCGTCGTACACACACGACCATGTGAAAATTATGCGACTTGGCGTGTGTGATGGTTATTGCATGTACCTACGTATAAATTTGCAGGTCACATTCAAGTGTGCGCATGGAGACGACGAGTAGGCACTCACTCGTGACGCAGTCTTTATAATAATATGTTGAAATCAAAACCGTACGCGTGTAATCCGCACGGGTTTGGACGGAGGGAAAAGATTTAAAAAATAAAATAAAAATTTCACGACTTTTTGCAAATATTGTACTCTGTGGGGAGAATGGAGAAAAAAAAATGCGCGAACAACAAAAACGCGGTGCGGGAGATAAATCATTAAAATATTTTATACTTATAGCGCTATACGGATGGCCTTTATAATATTATATGAATGAATACAATTTAAAAGTTTTGTTTTATCGCCTTAAGCGAGTTGCCACGCATATATACCTAAAATACCGTCGACGAGATCCTAAAGCTATTCAACTGAGTATTTTTAAATTATGGATAAAAGACTACATTTAGGTGGACGCAATTGAAACTTGTATCGCGTAAACAATTCAGTGCAATATTCTCCAAAATAAGATGAATCGTTAATCTTCGTGTAAAATTAGTCGTATGTGAAATTATTTGCTTTAGACAATGCATTATTATTACGTATTTATTATTTAAATTTTTAAAAATGATTTACTGTTGTTTAAACGACTATGTACGCTTAAACGTGACGACAAACGAGAAAAAAATATTTAAAAACATAAAATACCAAACCAATACAACAACAATCTACGAAATATGTAACCTATCAACAATGATTTTAATTTATTATTATGACTACCTCATTTAATTTATTTATTGTACCCATACACATTTTTGACAGTCAATTTGTATAAAATGTATGTAATGTAAAATGACATGTAAAACGCGTTTTTCTAAATGGTTTTTTTTTATGATCTGATCAAGGCTATTAAAATAGTTCTGAAATGATCATGGTTAACTATTTTTACGGAATTCAAGCAATTTTTATATTTTAATGTTTGATTGCATATTGATAATTATTTACATTTTTTTATTTATCTTGATTTACATTTTATGTTGTTTTATTTTATTCATGAGACTGCAATTTACCATGTCTGTCGGAAGTAAGTTTTTAAATTGATGAATAGGTCCACACAATTAAATTATTAAAAAATTGCATTCTATTTTAATTCATAGTAAGTACATTTTGAGTTCGGAAAATAAGCGTAAATCTCCGTTTTAAAATCAGAAGATATACTATTGTCTAGGTACCTATACGGCTATATTTATAAGAGGATGATATAGGATTATGTCTGTAGTTGAAATTTTGACTTGACCGTAGTAAAGTTATTAAAGACTAAAGAGAGTTCCTATTTTTTCGATTTTTAAGCTACCAACTCATTAAAAATAAATCGTAATAGCTTTAAAGTTTTAAGATTATATTTTTTCATTTAAACTATTGAAAGGGTTTCTCGCCGACGGCGTTGTTTCTGTCGTATAATTACGTAAAGTTGAAAATATATGTTCAACAGTTCTCATTTAGCGATGTTTTGCTAAAATGTGCTGCGTTACGCAATTGCGTAAGACGGAGACGTAAATACTTGCGGAACAACATAATAATATTATCATGTCCTCTAAATATAAATTATACTATTTTATTAACGTTCTAGGTTGAAAAATAAAAGAACACACAGGTTTACTCGGAAGTAATAACTCATCATTATTCTGGTCGACCTGACCGACACACAAGTTAAGACTAGAAACATTATATTATAATTGTGGTAACAAGCGGAATAGGTATACCTGCCTATACCTAATTCAACCAATGATGATAATTACCCGATCGAGTAGGCCGAATTTGGAAAAATTGATCCACGTGGGCAACACACTGCTGGCCATTTTCACTAACTTGTCGTCGTATCCCCATAGGAATTCATTTACCGACAGGTCGAGTATCGGCTGTGAGTCCTGGTATTCGACCAACGAATTGAACACGACATTCACGAACATCGGTGAGCTCCGGAGCATCGAACTGAATCCCTGCATTGAGACACAATAATAATATATCAGTATAGTTGTAGGTACCTGCGGCGTTGGTACAAGTACAGCGTGGCCGTTGTTTAGATAAAATGTCGATCAAAAATTATTATTATTTTCTCGTCCTAACGGCTGTTACCACTCTTGAACACACGCGTGCACGCGGTTGACGAACCGTGAGGTTAATAACTACAACTATCGACCAGTGACTTACAATATTCACACGGGAAAACAACTTTCGTATTCTTTGACATTTTATTGCAGTTTGGACACATTTAAATTTTAAATATACAATAATATATACATATTATATTCGTATATTATTGAATATGTATGTGCGTACTGTAGAATACTGTTTAGTGTTTATCATTATACAATAATAAATTAACATAAAGTACCACCTGAAACACATTACACGTTTTTTCCTTCTTCTCATATTATAGGTCATTCATCTACTCGTGCCTTTATAGCCGGTTCCCTCGAGAGCCGATATTGAGGTTTGATCTTTCTATAGCCCTGAATCCACTCAAATTATTATTATAGCTTGTGTACATACGATTATTGGGTTTTTGCTTTTACTGACGACAGTTTTAGACACAGCAGGAACCAGCTACAAACGGTGGGCACATCGAATCAAAAAAAAAAGTGAGTTCAATTTCCGTTTCCGCTAAAATTGATGTTTTACCGAATTCTCTAAAAACCTATTTTACATTTATAATATTATGGAATAATTTATTAACATTATTTCCGCTCGAAATAACCACTGCGTGTGTTAGGCAATAAGGTGGTCATAATGTTGTTAATTGATTGTTGAGAAAATAAGTACAGAAATGTATTGTGACATGCAGTAAACGTACCCAGTATAAAAATATGATAGTGTTTTATGGAGTTGAGTTTAAATTGGATCACAAGCGTACATAATAATATTATGATAGAGTTACTGCATGACAATCTGTCTTACTCTACTTTATATGGGTAAAACACTAAAACTACGAATACAACAGTTATTTTTCCAAATGAATACTGAGTAGGTATAGTAAGTATAATATTTGATAACAGAATTATCTATACATCCGTATATTATTTACATACCTGATATTTTTGTGTGGTCCCTACATATTAATCACTTTTTAAAATATTTTACAGTTCATACATTTTAATATTGACACAGAATTATCTACCCAATCGATGAATTTCTAATTGATTTAAGAACCAGGTAAAATATTATTTTACGGACAAAACTATAGTAAAGTTACTTATCTTATAAAATATAAACAAATTTGAGAGTTTTTTTATAGAATTATTTGCTGTTTTCAGGCTACTAAAATATACCTGGTTCAGTATTATACATTTATACACATTTAATATTTTTGATACCAGCTTGTACCTGTATATATATATATATATGGTTGAAAACTCGTTAATGCAGTAAGTACATTTATATGCAGTAATAATATAGTGTTTCGTATACAAATCGTACAAAAGCTTTGAAGGAAATGAACAAAATATGAATTAAACACAAAGTTTTTAAAAAAATAATGTAGGTGCTCCGAATGCAAATTATCCAAGAAACGGCGTGACGTACTATAGTTCACAGGGTAGGGTGAGGCGGAGGGGGTTCTCGTGGACGATTTATTAATTTGTAGCGTAGCATTATACGGAATCTACATACGCCTAGTACAACACCACTTTAAATTACCTAGTGAATTTACATACGTCGTACTGTAAAAAACACGAGCATTTTATTATTACTTCATAAACAAAAATATAACACAAACGTTGAACAATAAGTAGGTGTATAATAAATAATAACGTCTTGCAAACATTTTTTCATCTCCTAGTCCTATTATGTATTTAAATGTTATCGAAAAAGCACAAAATACATCGTAATAGTATTGTGAACTTCAGCCTACGCTGCACAGAAGAGGGGGTTATAGAAATACCATATTATTCACTGTACCTTTAAATAGTAATAAATTATACAATATTGGGGATTTTTTATTATGCGATATAATACTATAAAAATCACATTTCTGTATAGATAATTCACGGTAAATTTTGAAGAACAATGATCCGCATGACATAAAATTAAAATAATTGATGAGATCTTCGTAAAAGTATTACATCGACATTGCAAATGTCAATATCGATAGCACGAGTATAGATAATATCATTGTTTTTTTTTTTTTTTTAGCAAATTAATGGCAGTAAGTAGAAATTATTGATATACTATTGAATAGGTACAATACATTTTTTTCTCAACCCCCACCTCTTATTCGTTAGATATTTTGTACCGATGTTAGTATACTATAGATGTATACAAATACTATTAGTAGATATTATCATAATTTATTGATAATGGATTAAAATGGAATGTCTACAAAACAATAAACAGGTATAATAAATAATACCGTACTACATACACAATGATACTAAAGAAATTATTGATCGTAAGACTACAATAATTATAATCGAGTGATTAATTATCAATACATAATGTGTTGGAGACAAATAAGAACTCTACATTTTTATAAAAAAATGAGAAATAGGTACCCATCATTGAAGCAGTCTATACATTGTACAGTATAATAGGGTAAGTATTTAACCTTGTATAGTGTAGGTCGTAGGGGGTTGTTTCAGCTTGTACATCCACCCCGACCGTCGATGTACATATGTGTATAAAAAACAGCTTCTGTTAAAAAAGATAATAACAATATGTCTAATACCAATAAGGGGATGTTAGGAACGACGATTCGATCTGTTTCGGGATCTCCGACTGACAAATTGAGATCGAAGTGTAGTTTCCTCCTCGGGATGTACGTTACAGTGTCATTGTCGTGAAACGTTGTGTTCGTGTTTTCCAGCTCCTCCCTGTAAGACAAACCAAGCACAAATTATTTACATTCAAATTTTAAGTCGACGGTGTATTCTCATAAATTGGTGGTGGGAGGAGGGTGTTGCCGTGTTGACGTACTATGGTATACACTTTGGTTTACTTATATTTTTCGTACGATACTTGGACTTTTTATTAATTAGGTCGTATTGCAGTATAATCAATATTGAAGTCGTCAACAAATAACCAATACTAATACACGTTATATCGTATTATGCTCGACGGGCAAATGTTAATTATTTAAATATTGTTCAGAATTGAGCATGTAACTGAGCATCATATTATTATTACTTTACTACAGAAATGATTACTATCATAATACTCTATAATATGTCATGTTATAATTTATGCATAGTTTCAGTATAGTTTAGCTGCAAAACAAGCAATGAGCTCTAGTCCTGCAGTAGAGTGGGTACTGTCATAATGACTACGACGAGTGTGTGACAGTAAACTACTGCAGAAGCATCATCGTCATAGTATTATTATGTATTACGGCGAATGCACATGTCATAAGGTATAACTATAGCTCATATAAATACGGGCAATCATTATAATAAAGCATTCGTAGTACAAACGAATTCGTAGAAAGAGAGATTTCACATAATAGGTATATTGTAGGTAACTATACATATATTTTACCTATGTACTCTGAAATATATAATATTTTTCAAAAATGTTAAGTGCTATTACGACGTATTTCGTTACTTAATATTTTTGTTATATTATTCATTTATAGTATATCATATTTTAAGATGAATTATTTAGTTCAATAAAAGTGATTGGTGGTAATAAAATCGCATAGGTTTTATGAAATACATATTGTACATATTTTTTTCTCCTCGTTGATCAATATATTATAATATTATAAATTATGATTTATTGTAAACAAATGTCCGAGTAGTTGGCCTCTCGACTATGTCCGATCGATTCGAAAAATGTGCCAATTTTTGCAAATTAATTACTAATAATTTTAAACTAGTTTTTAGAGTTTTCAAATCAATATATTATTTTACTTTTGCCAATTTCAGAAGTTTTATTTTGCCAACCCTCAGACAATAAACACAATAAACATTCAGTCGTAGCTTACACAATGCTGTAAATATTTTATTTATTTTATAATTGTCATACTATGCAATGTTTTATTTTCAGGTTTCACACAATATTTTTATTCTTATACTAATCAAAGCTCAGATTATAACATTTTGTATAGAATTTATATTAGTCAAGGATGTATCGATTATAAGCACATATTGCGTTCCATAACTTTGTGAATAAAAATATCAAACTTTTTGCCTTCAGCATTCTATAGTTTTTGGAGGCTATTTTATAATTTTTAAATCTTATTTTATATTTTTAATACATATTTTGCAACCCTACAACTTAACTTTATTATTTAAGTAAATACTTTTTGTCCAATTTCGATGGAAAACAACATTAAACTTCACGCAAAACAATATAACAATACATTGTATGTACATTAAAAATCATCGATGTTGACTATTTCTTACCTCCAAATCCTTAATCACGTTAGTTGTTAGTTTTGAACACAAAAGGTAAACTTAACTCGAAGACCATACATTGATATTGTCAACAAAATTTCAACTTTAAAAATTAAAATTAAAAAGAAAAATCTGTGTAAGTTTGTCGTATACGTCTTTTACTCATGTACGTACACGCAGTGGTTCATACTTAAATTTGATGAAACTTCAATGTTTAATACAGTCTGCATTAAATTTAATTTTTATTTAATTACCACGGTTTGTATTTCCCGTTTATTTTTTTAGTGAACATAAATTAAAGCTCTAGAAATCATCAATCAACCGTTTTCGGAAATCGGGTAGGTACGCGTTTCCAAGTCAGATCGAAGATACGCCGTATCTGGTTTTCCGATTAGTCATATTAAGTAACTACCTACCGTTTCAGGTAGGTATTTAAATGTTGAGTAGCACGAGCGTATATACATGCAATAAATAATAATCATAAAGAATTGGGAATCGTCAAAATAAGAAAACAAACGAAACCGAGTGACATTAGAAACCCCATGCCGGTTAACCTTCCAGCGGGTCGAACGGACATTGAACATTGCAGTTAATTAGACGTCGGAAGCAATTATTCCCCTAAATTAAAATACCATTACCTGTACTACGCGGCGAGCAGTTGGTAAATTATAATATTTATTAATTGTTATTTATTATAATTCGATTTTCGAAATGAAAATATATTATCCAACGACGATGTTTACGGTCGCATCCGCAGACACACGCGTATCCAGCAGGTTCAAACCGGATCGAGTTGCATATTAATCGTCATAATTATTTATCCAACTGCACAGCGCACTAAGGTTCCCGGGTTCGACAACTATACTTGTGTCTCTGGTCGCGGGCCAACAAGTACATAATAATAATAATGATACGATATTATAGATGAAAAAACAAAAACATGACTACAAGTTGACTTCCGCAAGCAGTAAATTATATAAATATCATTATTATTATTATTATTTTTTTTTTTTATTGGTGAATTTCTAACATGTTTGTAAACAAAAAAATTGAAAGAGCTTATGGGAAACTGTTTGGAAAACATTCTATAATAACATAATACCGTACCACATTTCATTGCCGCGTAGCATACGATCTGCGTAATATTATATAATAATATAACAAGGCCTCTTGCAGGGTTTGATCGCACAAATTGGGTTCGTTAAAACACGCGGACAAAAGACGACGACGTGTCGTTTATATTATTATTATGTTGCACGTATATTATAAGCGTATACATTCCAGTATCCGTCCTACTTTAAACTTTGGCCCCGGGGCCGGGCTCGGCTAATCCAAAGTACAGTTGTTTTTAGAGAACGTGATGTTTGCACCGGCCAACTGTCAAGGAATGTTAAACATTCAGGGGAGGTTAAGTGAAACTCGCCGAGTATAGACTCCCCTATAATATTATTCGCGTATGTATATACAATTTATATTCATATATATATTATATGTACCTGCGCATACACGCGAGGACGTTTTATTATCAAAGCTGCAGGGGAGCGCGAGCATGAAAGTGAAATATTAAAACGGCTCGCGCGGGTGTGGAAAAAATATAAAAAATAATAACCATTTATAAAATATATTTTATTATACGCGCATACGTGGTGAGTACGAGCACGGGTACCTGTACTCTGACCCTCTGTATCGGGATTTAAATAAATTATTTTAATAAAATGTGAATAATTCATATTATATGACGTAAGCACATTTTATTATTATTATTATTATAGAACTGTAGTGTCCTATCACGTATTTCAGTTTTATTACAATACCATAAAATATACAGTGAAGAAAAGTTAGCATTATCAATCTCGTAAGCATCTCGATATTGAATTTATCGCTCAGCTAAACAGGGAGATGTGTTGCTAATTATCGTCACCTTAGATCAACATAATGGTAACTAACCGAATGAATATATTAAAATATATCGAATACGTTGTATGCAAACTTTTATAACTGCTACTCGTTTTGATTAATTTGTTATTGTTTTTGAATTCATAAAACGAATTTGGCATAATATCCTCAAATTAAGTACCTACTATATATTAGTTACTGCACCAGTTTTGAATAAAACATCTATAGATACAAATATTTTTCGTTACAGCTCGTAACTTCTTTTTAACAATTAAATTATGTGGTTACTGGTTTATCATTGATCAAAATTGTTATTTATTATTTTCATGTTTTATTGACAATGAAGTAATCGAAATCGTAGAAATTATGTTCTGAGTATTTAAATTGTAAATTTAATCAATCCCAAAAAGAACTTCATACATTTTTTGGATGCATTCTCTCACAAATAGGAATTTACTTCAAAATTGTTTTTCATTAAAATTACCAATGTGACTAAACGTGTCTTGGTTTGTAATGATTGATAATTGATCTCCAAAATTGATGATAAAATCAACGTTTTCCGAAAAAAAAAACACTTATAGAAACCATTAAAAACTAGTTGCCAACATAAAAAATTATTCAATCATTAAAAACCAGCTTAAAACAGCATATTAAGACCCATCTTGTGTATATGCAATTGTCTACTGAATATACTTGGACAAATAAATATATATTTATTTGGAGTGATAACAATATTATTTCTCAATAACTAAGTATATTAATCTCAACGATAGGGTCAATGATAGCAATCATCTATATCAGTTTTTAATCAAAAACAAAATATTTTGAACGGATATTATTTTGTTTTTTTATTTCTTCTAGGCCTTGCGTCTAGGGAAATTGTAAAGTTTCCCAACGCTCAAGGCGAGTTGCCAAAAATTATTGTGAAATACATTGAAAAAAGTTTTTGACATACCTAATTGATTTCCCTTCTATTTCCATTACCTATTGAAAAAATATTTACCTTAAATCAACGAACATGACACCGATATAGATCGCAGGTCTAGTCATTTTTAGACATAACAATATAATTTTCGAAAAATGACAACTAATTGTAGACATCAATACATTTAGTTTTTTGAAACTGTAAGCTATTTTAGTTTTCAACTAAATTGAAAAATCTTATTATATTCATATTATTCTTTTACTTATACTTTTAAAATGTAATATTTAGTCGGCCATATATTTTTCTCTAATGAGGTTCAAACATTTGGGGCGGGATGACAAAGGCCCCTTGATACTCCTGCAGCATGATCTGTTTCAGAGTCCAGGCTTTCTAAATATTATATTCATATATTTTGAACGATTCTCATTTGTGTTCATTGACATTAATGCGTTTATTGATATATTGTATGGTATATTGTATTGTATGGTTAATCAAATAACTATAATTTGTGCCCTCTTACTTACCAATAAACATACGGGCCTACTTCCTTGACATCCAATTTTTCATCTTCGCCCGCCAAAAATCTATCTGCGTTAGTCACGTTAAATATGTACACGTTGACGTACACTTTAACCGGGGGTTTTTGCCACAGTTGAAAGGCGTACGATCCTTCGACGAATTTCAACTTCTGGAAATTAAAAAAAACCATAGTAAAATCGTTGTTATATACTTATTGCTGAATAATGTGTAAGCTATGTATTATTATATCTTGCAGCCATGGACAACTATATTATTAGTCGTTGAGACTGTAGAGTATTGATGAGCATTTTATTGGGTCATTCGTACTCACATACGACTTAAGCCGCGCAACATTTTGACCTATATTATAGGTATATTGAAAATTATTGTATGGTGTATGCTATATACAGAATGTTTTATTTTCGAGTGAACTGGGATATTTACAAGGTGATAAGCCACGCATGCTCACGGCGATTTTTCTTTAAATAAATTATGTGTGTTCGAAATCTGATTGCTTAAATTTGTTTAATATGCCAACCCAAGTACCACATTTTTCAATTCTTATATTTTTAAACTATTTATGAAGTTTACCGTGGACTGTTGTAATACAAACTTTTTTTTCTGTAGATCAAGACCATTTATCATTGTAAATTGTCAAGGAGATGGGTTGTATGATAACTTTTATATACACATATATATACATTTGAAAAAGTAGTTTCTCAGTTATTAGGCTTAGAAAATAATATAATGGAAGCCTATGATGATTTGAGTTTTAAAGTTATTTAAGTGAATCTATACTTAATAATACTGAGCTGAAGATATTTGTATGTTTGATCTCGCTAATCCCAGAAACTACTAAACCAATTTTAATAAAAATGTTATCAACCGATTCTATGTAACTCGGATGGTGTTAAGACTAACTACTTTTTTCAACCAACGTAGATTGCTAAAGAGTGGCTCGCAGTTGAATTTCTTTCTTGTTCATAAAAACCGAATAATTGTTTTGTATGTATTACTATTGGGTTGCCATTTATTACAGAAATACAATCAAAAAAATAATAAATACTATAAATTATCCGAATCACATTGCTGTGGGATTTTTTTTAAATAAAATAATATTTGATTTATTGTTAGTTATTCAAATTTAGAACAAAAAGCAATGTCATTGTGTGACGAAAGTCTCGGAGATTGTTCTTGGAAGTAACTGGAAACTGGAAAGTTAAGAGAGTAGTTTGAACCACGTTCGAAAATATACAAAGTTCTATATTTTCCAATCCGCCACGGTGGATTAACCGTTTCGGTCGAATTAGTTCACAAAGCAGCTAGGGTATATACCGATGCTGATTTGCCTGTATATACACAGAACCGAGATATTACAATACTTTATGTTTGTTAATTTCTTCTCAATAGATATCGAATTATACAGCTGGTGTATTATAATTTCATAATTTATAAATATTTTCCGAGTGGGTGTAATGAGTACCTATAGCATTTATTTTATATTTTATGCAAAACCATTATGGTTTATTATCCTTAGTAGATGAAATGTAATAACTCGTGTATTCTCATCTTTAAATGGTATAAATAATATAAGTATTTTTTTTAAAGTATTTAAAAATGTAAGTACCTGTTAAGTGTACAAAAATGTCCAAAAATCAGTGTTTAAATAAGTACACTTTTAATGAATAAATAATGTGAGAATGATTATTTAAGCCATGTTGTAAATATTGTGTAGTTCAAGGAGCTATACATTAATTATATATTAGGTATTATATATTACAATCATAGATATTATACTACTAGACAAGCAATGAGTGTATGGAAATCGTAACAATACAGAAGGCGCTTTTTTATTAATCGATGTCTCGATTACTCATACGCAAGGAAGTGCAGAGAAGCAGCAAGCAGGGTAATATATAAAGATATATAGAACATTGGATTTTTTCGTAATGGCAGCCTAAATCACTGTGAGATGATTTTACTCAGCTCTCATGCTGTTGTTATACACAGTTCTTGCCTAGTAGTATAACGTCTTTGATTATAATAGACAGTCCTCTTCGTCCAATCATAACCTTAATTTATAAGGCATTAAAATCGCTATGTATATGATAGTACAAATTTCAGAAAAATATGTTCAAATTAAAATAATTATAGGTTATCAAAAGAAACAAATCATCATTATTAATCTCAAACGATAACAAATAAAATGCCATTATATTTGTCTTAATTGATAATTCAATTCAAATCGCTTTATTCAAAATGTAATAATAATATAATATATATTATATAGTGCGATAATTGGCCAAGAAAATTACGAACATTGTCCTATAGTTCGTCATACATTTCAGTAATTCACCACGTGCGTTTTCACGGACGAAAACTATTCGTTCCTGACAGTTCTCATGGCGCATAATTTTGTCATCCTTTAAAGCAAAACAATACATTTTTATATATAAACGTTGCGTTTAAACAGCATTAGTAATATTGTGTTATTATAGGTCTATCACATTTTAATAATTAATCCATAAACTGCGTCAATATATTATTTTCTATCGTCCACCGTATTGTAACCCGAGCTCATAATATAATATATTATCATTATTATATACACACTCATTAATCATAATATTCGTATCGAGACACACACAGGTATACCTATATACTATAATGTATAGGTGGTATAAATTATAAATATTCAAATAAAGCGTAGGTACGCATAGTCACGATATTAGGTATATTGATTATAACCACTTTAAGGCAATCGTCTAACGTGTATTTATTCGACATCAGCTGTTACGGATCTCAGACGTATAACGTATCAATTATTAATAATATCTCGTTCATCCATCTACAACTCTACAACAGTCGTCCGATACAAGACTGTACAACTGTAATAATATGAAAATATATTTTAATATACCGGTAAGAACTCTCGAAACCTTGTGATGACGACAGATCAACTGTTGACGTCGTGGCACACAGCGGTGGGTATGATGTGATTATTATTCAAGTGATAAATCATTTTTATGTTGTACGATATATTATATTAGCAATAATAATATTCAATACACTTGCATTATGTATTGCGAATTAATCGAACACTGCTCTTTGCAAGTTCCAAATGAAATAATTTTATTGGGTACCTCCTGTTATAACTATCGCAAAAAGCAAGTCTATAAAACGATGATGCAACGCACGCGTATGGATGTGATAAAATATTGTGCAATTATGAATTAAATAATTTCGAATAACTGATACCTAAGTATAAAATATATAGGTATTATAATGGTAATTATTGTATAATGAAAACGATTTATTAATTGATTGTTTAATGGCGAACGTCCGCGAGTGAAAGACATGCGGACCTTAAGTATCACTAAAACTTCAAAATCAAGGCGATTGGGAACGATTGGTGCGTAATTAATGATGAATAACAATATTTCAAGAACAATATTAGTAATAAATCTAGAAAAAAATTACCGTTCACGAGAACGCTGTCGGCAATTAACATAAAGAGTAAAAAAACACATTTTAACACCAAGCGTACCTAATATATATATTAGGAATAAGGTAGTACCTACTTATAATATATTATATTGTACGGGTAGTATTACATTTTAATGTTCAATACAGTATGAATAATTGCTCCTTGAGCTAAATATACCAGGTATGCGGTAATGCGGAATTGTCTTTTAACCCTGTTTTTAATGTTCATATATCCTGCAGCTCAATTAAAAAAGGTCGCAGTGTACATATTACAGTCAATCGATTGCTAAATTAAATATATATTTTATGAATACGTTCCTAGGTACGGGCGTATATTATATTCGCGAATTCAGGTTTCACGCGTTTAATAATAGGTACCTATAAAACATTATATTTAGTGCTCGTTTGTGTGTATAATTTATTTCATACCTACCTACTAAGTAATAGGTATGATATAACTATGGGGAGAAATCTATCCCCAAACCAATAAATAATAACAATTTCATATATCATATATTTTAGTGCATATAAATTAAAACGAATTACTGTAATGATATATATCATTTTTTAACACAACTTGGTTATTATGTATGTATAAGGTTACCATTGATAATAAATGCAAATCGGTTTTCCGCATCATTTGTTCTGTTACATCTGTCCGACTTCATGGCCCAATTATTTATGTCTTTCAAATAAATGTTATCTTGTTAATGATTAAATGGTTTATACCTTTTATAAACTATATAACTTATTAGGTGAGACTTTTACTCAAGAGTGTTGATTATTGTAAATTTATTAACAGTTTTCCTCCTTATATTCTTAAAAACAACTTTAATGTGGTTTTTTTTTTTTTAATACATTATAATTATTACTGAAGATAATATTATAATAAAGAGACTGAAGTACCTATATATTTAGCTACAGTTTCGATGAAAATCGTTTCAGGAAAATATAGACGTGAGCTCGGGATAGTTATGAATATTGAAATATTTTATGTAAATATTAAATGTGTACACTTACCGCTGATTTTATTATTTCCACCGGGTTGAAGAAAAACAGAGCGTAAGAAATGATGAGAAGTCCAAAGCCGCATAGACCGTACCTAGCGTTTCCTGGACAGACAAAAAAAAATTATAATTATTTATCTATTATATTAAATTATGATAAACTTATCAATAACTATCAATAAATACTGGACTTTTATGTTCTATATATTTTTACTGTGGCTAAGTAGTAACATTTGGGTGAGGTTTCTTGACGCTTCATTTTACAACAAAAATGTTTAGGTACATAATTTTACTTTGCATACAATTGCACAGTTAGATATTAGAGAATATTTTATATATAATACCAGACATTTTAGAAATATTTCTTCTATTCAAACATACAATTAAACAACAAGGCAATATTTTTCATTACATTTTTAATACACAGGTGGAATTAGCAATATTGGTATGATCTTTTTTATCTTCCATGGTAATCAGTGAGCATTGATCAAATATCTTATTGAAAGTTGAAGTTGAAGTTATCATGACATTTTTTAATCATTAAGTACGTATTATGTACATACATTTTTTCTTTTTTATTGATTTTTACAAAACATGTGATCAAATGACAAACTGTTAATTTTAGATCATGATTTTCTGCTGTTTTTTTTTATCAATTTAAATATGGTTTATATTAATCAAACGAAGAATAATAAGTTTTGTGATTTTTTTTCTTTTTTGTAATTCAAAAATATTTTTTGTTGGAGATTTGAAACTAATACGTAGGTACATTATTATATTTCAATATTTCATAATATGTCTACAATAACATTTTTAAACATTTAGATTAATTTTAATCTCTTAACTTTATAATAGTTTATGCTGTATATTAATCCCTATATAGTAAAATAATTTACTAGGTACTTAAGTAGGTACCTATAACCATTAATAAGCAATACGCTTCTACAATAATAGGCTGAAAGACAGCCTCTGCTCAAAATAATTGCTTGTATGTAATGATAAATTTAAGACTTTCATTACAGCGACCTACTCAATGAATAGTTACACATGATCACTATAACTGCAAAGCAGAGCGTTTACCCAATTTACCTATTTTTTTTACTGTGAATTTTTTAATGAAAGTAACAACTGTTTACTTTCCTATATGATAATGTATTAATATTTAAAAATCATTTTTAATACTCCAAAAGAAGACTGATGAGTGATGACTAATAACACATTACATATATAAAACTACGAGGCTCACATGAGTGTAAAACCAATGAATTCATCGCTCTGCTCAGAAACTAAAATAACTACTGGAAAATCCAGTACAGTAATATTAAGGCAATTGACATTTTAGTTTTTATTAAAATGACATTGTTATTTTTAGTCAAACTATAATTTAAAACAATCTAATGATACTTTAAACGGTTAATTGTATAAGCTATAGTTGCAGCTTGAAAAGCCCTCGATTTTGTTAATTCAAAAATACTGGTTGTGGAAAGTTTAAAGAATTCTAAATTTAGTCATTATAAAAGTTCGGTAATAATATTTGTCAGGGGCATCTAATTTTTTTTTATTCAAAGGCCACATAAGATATTAAAATTTCTTATTGTGCTAAAAGTGTATAAATGTTTATAATTTTTAATTTTATAAATATAGATATGTCTAAAATACACCTGCATAATATATCTATTTAAAAAAAAATAGTTCTTATAATATACTCAAATATTATACTTAAATATATAATTATGGTATAGGTGATAATTGACAATTGCGTACGATAACAATTTTGGATATTTCACATATTTTTAGACTATTTACTGTTCTTTTGGGAGCCGACTTTAACCGCACCTGGTTAGTTGGCCGTAGTCTGGTATATGTTATTATTTTGGTTTATATTATGAATTTTTATTTGGTAAATTTCTTATTATAATATTACAATACAAAAGGGGTAGGTAATATTGGACTGTCTGCCCCCCCCCCCATGGCTAACCTTTGTAAACTTCAATACGTACGCGATCCAAACAACTGGCATTATTAATTTCCCTTCAACTTTTAAATCATTTTCAGAAAAATAATAAAAGTAATTTTAATTACATTGCGCATAATGACCGTTTAAGGGTGGAAAGAGGATTTAGAGTTGTTGCGAGGCGCTGCGCCGCTACGTGATAAACGCAAAACAAATTTTGGAATTCAAACCTTATATATTATATACTTTTATGTAGAATAATTTGGGTACATAAAATATAATATATATATTTGCGATATCAAAAACTACAAAATCGGTTTCTTTATACAATCTTATGTGTATAATGTTATGGTTTCTGCTACCCAATTATCATTTGCAATCGTTCCCAGAAAATTAACATCGTGTGACCTCAATCAAACGACTGTATTATGTATATTGTATTATCGTAACCTCTCGCTCCTAATTTTAACTACTCGTTTCCAATGTATACAATAATCGACGTAATTGCTACGCGACGAGGAAGAAATTAACGGTATTATATTTTCTTTGTTTTACAGCGTTATAACTATTGCACCGTCACACTCATACTTATACACACACACACACACACACACACAAACACACATGTGGGTTGTATTAAGCACGTGCTTATTATTATCAATCAAACGAAATAATAATACACTGCCGTAGTTATATACCATATAATAATGATATATTATCAAGTAGGTATCAGATAGGTGGTATTAAAAAGCGTTTATGAAAAGAAGATGCATAATTTACTCATTTTGCATACACACGTCATACGAGATAGAAGTTTATGGTTTTTTTTTTTTTTTAAATAATTTAAAACTTAAGAAAATCCACAGACATAAAACGGTTTTATAACGAGGGATTTCCATGTAGGTCAAAAACGAATTAAACTCTTTGAACGAGTTGAAATAATAATTGATTGGCATTGAACAACGCAATTGGTCGTTGCAAAAATGGCGTTCTCATCGAATGATTGGGATTTATGTAATAATATGATTACTTATGTTATTTTATCAATCGATAGTATAATTGATAAATTACACTTGCGTTAAACTATATAAGTGTACATTCATTTAAAATTCATAATATTGTCGTTTGCAGCTGGTGTCCATTACAATTTGTGATGGTTAGTGTACAGTGATTTTAGCGAATAATTATATGACTGCAATTGCAAAATGTTTCCATATTGCAATCTGTAGAGGGTATTTTTTAATTAATATGAATTTTAATATTTATTCACAGGGAGATTTGTGACAAAATATGCTCACCCTCATTTTTCCTTCAATAATTTATTCATTCAAATTCGGACTTTTGTAAATGTTTATGTGTTTATCGATACTATCATACGTAAAGACAATATTTTCAAATATTTAGATTTTTTTTAAGAATTACGGAGTGTAATAAAAAGCATACATTTATACAATTTTTTTTTCAAACGACAACCCCCCCCCCCCCCCCTGTCCCCCAATGTAAACATTATACAATTAATTATTACAATTATTTTTAGAAATGTTAGACACACACACAAACACACACACACACACACACACACACCCCCCCACACACACACACACACACACTTTTTTGCTGTATCTTAATGAGATTAGAAGATATTTTTATTAATATTAGAGCGTCTAAATTAACTTTACACGAATAGTTTTTGAATTAAAACATTTTATATGTTAAGTATAAGTCCATAGTAATGGCTTCATATAAAACATAAAATAGGTGCCCTATTTATTAGTATAGTATTTATTACAAGTATACTCAATTTATGTACACGAACATCTGCAACAAAAAAATTAATCTTAACAAAAAAATTACATTTGAATGGGATGGCTTTCAGCTAAATAAAAATAAGTTCCCAACACAACAGGACACTGCGTAAGGAATGCAATACATGGTCAGGCGTGGATATAAAAATCTAAAATGGAGGAATCCGTTTTACCAGTACCACTAGAAAATCTGCAGTAAACCTGCCACTTTGAATCACTAAGTGCCAAATATACTCACCCCGATTTAACCTTAAATCATAAATTTATTTAAATATACCAATATACGGCAAACTACAACTCTATCTAATACCTGTACATATTTGTATGCTGTTTAAAAAGTGTCTTGTCAAGATACAAACCACTTTTCTCAAATGAGAACAAATTATTTGAAAATTACTGTAATCTATATTAGACTATTAGCGCATTTTATAATTTGTAAACATTTATAGATTAAATAATTAATACTTAACTTAATAATATTGTATGCATATTTAAAATTATTGTTATAATATGTTTTGTGTTTAACTTTGTATTACCATCTACACCTGTTGCTGTGCGCTATGATTCCTAGTAAAATTACAATAAAATCATTCTCAATAAATAGCAAAAACTCAGAATTTGCTCGTTCTAATTAGGTACGATTTGGTTACATCATAAAAAACATCCACTGAACAATTTACTGTGAAACATAGCAATTATAATTTTAAAAGGGAAATTTTTATCGCTACACAACATTTCTCAAAATGTGCCTTAGAAAATTAAGCATAATATAAATATAATAAATAAGTATACGTACCTAATTAAAATGTATGACCTAAATCCATATTTAAACAAATAGGTACATTTAAAATGCACCTAATGCACAATAAAATAATAAAACAAGTGTCATCATTCTTGACGAATCGTCATACTATAATATTATGCCTATACTATAAAACATCGGTTTTAGTGATGTAAAATTTGAAAAATTTAATATTCAAAACATTTTGGAAATGAAAAAATTTTATTTTATTTTTTGATGGATCTTACTCTTTTTACTTCGGTATATAAACATTAGAAATATTCATTGAATCTTGAAGTACATTTTAAAACATTTAAAAATTCTGCACAAATGTTATTAAATTTAAATATTTTATTTTTAAACAGAGTTAATAAGTACAGAGGTTATGATTGTATTTAATATTTATGCGATAATATTCGCAGTATAGGTACATTTTATCACAACAAAATTAATTTAAATACAAATAAATAACACAATTTTTTCTTGGAAACTTCCGGATGTCAGAAATTTTCAATTTAGAAATTTCTAAAATGTATAACTTACATCACTAGTGGGTTTATACGTA